TGGAGTTCAAATCAAGGAAGGCAACTCTTTTTTTCAAATTGTTTACGTCAAATAAACATTGAATTGAATATCAGTGTTGCAATTAGTCTTAAAGCCAATTAACTACAATTAAAACACTGGAAAGCATTGGTGGCACTATACAAAAACAAATTGGTTTATAATCTCACAACCTTCATCTTTCTGACATTCTGAGACCCAAACAAATTCAGCGTCTTCTGTGCTTTGATTATTTAATATGTTTGAACATATTTTGACACAGTCTATTCCTCTTCTTAAAATAACATCATTAAGAAACTAGAAATGTGTCATCATGCCACGGATGCCCCCGCATGAAGCCAAAATTTCAGATGTTATAATATTTAGTTTCAAATTTGTTTGTACAAATTAACAAATTATTTTTTTCATTTTAAGTTCAAAGCCCTTAAAACTTTTCAATGTTAACACAAACCATTTTCATACAATGTTCAAGGCACTGAAATTATTCAGTCTTAACCTTTTGAAAATAGCATATTGCATATTTGTAGCCAAAATAATGGCTACATACATTTCCACAAAAGTATGAGTGCTGAAACTGAAAGTTCAAAATTTTACCAACATTCAGGAAAGATAAGTTTGTCCAAAATCATTGAACCACGACCAAATTCAAACTTTAACTGCTTATTCCTATGATGTATCTATATTATTTTCAAAGTGAAAGGGACATAACTCCATATCCATATGTCAAATTTCAGTTGAATATGTAACACTGTTGGGTAGATAATGAACAGAAACTGTAAATTTCATATTATTTTCAAAGTGAAAGGGGCATTACTTTGCCAAAAGTCATTGAACCATGACCAAATTCGAACTTGGCCTGGGCATTCCAAAAACATAACCATATGTCAAATTTGAGTTGATTGTGTTATACCGTTGGAGAGATAATAAACAGAAACCGAAAATTTCATATTATTTTCAAAGTGAAAGGGGCATAACTCTGCCAAAAATCATTGAACTATGACCAAATTTGAACTTGACCAGCGCATTCCTTTGACATATCCATATGTCAAGTTTGAGTTAAATGTGTTGTACCATTGGGGAGATAATGAACGGAAACTGAAAATTTCATATTATTTTCAAAGTAAAAGGGGCATAACTCTGCCAAAAATCATCGAACTATGACCAAATTCTAACTGGACCTGTATTTTCTCATGACAAATCCATCTGTCAAGTTTGAGTTGAATGTGTTTTACCGTTGGGGAGATAATGAACGGAAACTGAAATTTTCATATTATTTTCAAAGTAAAAGGGGCATAACTCTGCCAAAAAGCATCGAACCATGACCAAATTCAAACTTGACCTGTATTTTCTAATAACAAATCCATATGTCAAGTTTGAGTTGAATGTGTTGTACCGTTGGGGAGATAATGAATGGAAACTGAAAAGTTCATATTATTTTCAAGTAAAAGGGGCATAACTCTGCCAAAAATCATCAAACCATGACCAAATTCGAACTTGGCCTGTATTTTCTCATGACATATCCATATGTCAAATTTGAGTTGAATATGTGCAACCGTTACTAAGATAATGAACGGAAACTGATGATGACGGAATGACAGAATGACGGAAGGACGGAATGACGGAAGGACGGAAGGACGGAACAGGGTAACACTATATATATGCCCCGGCCATTACATGGCGGGGGCATAAAATATCTTTATAACTGAATATTAATTTAATGTCATTTAAATTTTGTATGATATTATACAAATCTAGATGCTCAAAACCATGTACAAAATTAATGATGTCATATTAAAATATAAGCACAAACCATGCAACACCGTTTTAACGGAGTTGTAAAAGCGTCATGGGTATGTGATAAATAGGGTTACTGTATATATAATCATAAACATTTAATTATATACAAAATAAGTCATTATCTGAAAACATAGGTATGTATAAAGCCTAATATAAGTCAATGTAACGTTGATTTTCTAGTTGCTTAAATCTTAAATTGATCTGACAAATTTCCGATGGAACAGACTAATATCAATCAACTCAGTATTAATTTATATGTGTTTACAAATAATCAGATCTTATCACATAAACCACAGCGCGAAGTGTAATAAAGCCATTTAATAAAAATGATATTACACTAGTGTAATAACACTTTGACGTGACGCCATTTGCGCTATATATAAACAAAGCGTTAAAGCGCGCTAATGTTAGCGTTACACTATAGGCGCGTCAATGAAAAATGACTCTTTTTAACAGTTTACCATTCTTATTTTCTTTATGTGATAAATAGAGGATATTGAATGAGTGTATGTTTAAGGACGATTTCGGGATTTCCACCGATTTGAGGACGGTGACCCCATTTTTTTTCGTTTAAAATGTTTCTGTTATCATATTCTAACAACATGCCAAGTTTAAAGAAATTCTATTGAACAGTTTTAATTTTGCCTATATGTCTGCATGAAAACTCCCGAAAACGTCCTTAATACTAAATTAAATGAACAAGTTGAATAAAATCATATTATGCGCGCCTCTGGTTATTAAACCTACACAAATATAATATTCTATTCTATCTTGCTGGTATAAGTTGTTTTATCCAGAACTTGGCAAATGTGGGTTTTTCCAAGCTTATCCCGCAGTACAAACTTTTACCAAAATATGTTTATGTAGCACTTATTATCATTAGAGATTTGTCAATCAGTTGCACTTATTTCTGAAGCTAGAACACTGTCAACACACCTTACAATTACAATTCGAAATCATGTTAACCTCTGCAAATGTTGGTTTATCTCATCTTATACCGCGGTACAAACAATATTTTACAGCTTAAGGGTACCCAACTGTTCATGAATGAGCAGACAGCGTGTTGCAAGGATTATCAAAATATTTACTAAAACGTAATTATAAAAGTTCATCTACAGCCTGGGATGAGCTTGAAAAACTCACATTTGCGTGGTTCCAGAGTATTTCTATTCAATACATCTTTGTACAAATACATGCATAACATATTTAAAAAAAATATTTCTTGGGTTTAAAATTTTAAATGCTTTTTATTCAATCTGCATGATCAGAAGACACAGTATTGTAAACAGGAAGATATTTCAACAACTAGACTGTGTTGTGACTACCTTTCATATAATTTATTCAAAAGATAAAAATCTCTAACTTGAGAATAAAATTTCAATTAGTATATTAAAGCATACTTTTACATAAAATAGACAACGGTGCAATCACTGCAGACAGCAACCATCTTCATATAAAACAAGGGCAAAAAGTTTTATTTAAAAGGGGCCATAACTCCAAGAATATAGCTTTCTAAATTATGCCCCTTGTAAAGCAACTACCCCTGGTCATGATTAATAAGTATTCTAAACTTAAAATGTTTGAACAATTGGCTACATTAAAGTTTTTGCCCAATGACCCTTGGCCCAATTTTATATGTAAAGATAAAGATATCAACTTAACCATAATATATTATGATATACTATTTTAGGTTGTTTATTTTCTTTTGTTTATACTATTATACATCAGTAAGTACTTTAGTTTAATAGAGGGACCACTTTTATTATGGAACCAGTGCTTCAATGGGACCTGTGGAAATTGAAAGTGATATAAATCTCTCAAAGATATAAAATTCATTTACTGAAGCATATACAGGGATGTATATTATAAACACATTACTGGCATATAGTGATATAAAAACAGATATATTATCATAACATATTATGAGAGAAATTGTATTTTACTGTAAATAAAAAAGTATTTATTCGAATTTAAGTAATACAGTATAATCAAAAATTAAAATTAAAAAAAGACATAATTTACTAAGTTTCAAAGTAACACATTATAACATTTAAAACAAGAACCGGTTGATGCTCCACGAATAGGTTTTGGACACAGAGTTATGTCCCGGACAAAGGTCAAAGTGCAATAATTCCAAACTTAGGCAAGGCAGAGTTACTGTTCTTTGCACTGCTCATCTACCGAATGATATCCATCTATCTACAGTAATTTTCTTGTTCATATCTCTTATGTCCTGAGACAAAGTTCGAAGTGTAAAAATTAACATAGTACAATTAAACTCTAAAATAAGGCAAAGCAGAGTTCAGTTCTTGTGCACTGCACACACATCCAATGAGATGTCTCTACATACAAAGTGTCTTGTTCATATCTATTATACCTTTAGAACAATGTACTGAACAATGTTTAAAGTGTAAAAATGGACAAAGGGTGATAACTCCAAAAGTCGGCAAGATAGAGTTATGGATCTTTGGCACTGCACATCTACCCATGGAGATTGTACCTGTGAAGTTTTATGTTGATATCTTTTATAGTTTTAGATTTATGTCCCAGACAAAGTTTAAAGTATAAAAATAAACAAAGGGCAATAACTCCAAAATAAGGCAATGCAGAGTTTAAATTCTTGTGCAAAGCACATCTACCCAATGTAGATCTATCTACATACAAAGTTTCAAGTTCATACCTCTTGTTGTTACAGTTATACCCTGGACAATAAAAACAGACGGACCGCCGGACAAAGCGCGACTATATGCTCACCCTTTGTGGAGCATAAAAAAGACTGAAGTTACTTAGTTTCTAAGGTACATTTGTTATAATATTATGGTTCCTTATTATAAAACAAACCCTGGCATAATGTTACATGAAGCAGAAAAATTAAAAACTCTTATAGTGTTACAGAAATAGTACAACTCTTTCCTAAATGTTAAAAAAGTTTACATTATAATGACTTCTTAACCTGACATCTAGTATACAGCAAGAGCACAAATTTAAACTTTCAAACATTATCAAAACAGATAGAGATTTATCAAACTATCATATGACAAAACTTAATAAAAACTTTGATCCTTCATATGACAAGTTATCAGACTACATGTACAACAAAAATAATCTACCTCGTTATCTGAACCAGCCTTGTCAAACATTGTTGAATTGCCCATTAATGTCACCAGTTTCTGACATGTTTGCTTGATAGTCAAAAGTAGTATATAACGGTATTTAATAAAAAATTCAAATAATATGTTCTTGAACTATTAGTAAAAGGATACACAACCAATAGAAATTTAGACAATTATATAAAATTAGGAATTTACTAAAATGGCAACAAAATTAAGTGAATCATTAACACAAGACTCTGATGAAACGAAAGAAATGTATTGTGAGGAATGTGAAAAACACACTGGAGCTTATGCAACAGCTGAAGCTTTCTGTGTAAATTGTGTGGAATATAAATGTAAGACCTGCCAAGAATATCATAAGAGACATTTTAAGGCTCACACAATCTATGACAGTGGTAGAATGCCACAGGATTTTTATTTTGAAAAATGTTCTTTGCATCCAAAACAACTGATCAAGTTTTACTGTTTGGAATGTAATATAGAGGGGTGTCAAGAATGTAAGGATAATGATCATGAGAACTGTAGAAATGTTAATCATTTACCTACCCTTGCTTCTGGCATACAAAAGAGTAATGAATTAAATGATATCAAACTGAACATGGACACATTATCAGAGGATATGAACAACATTAAAAAATTGTTAAAAGCAAAATGTGAATTGATTGATAAACAAGAAGAAAACATAATTAAAGCATGTAAGGAGTATACAGATAAGCTGATAGCAACTTACAAACAACAACATCAATACCTAATCGATGATTTTGATAAGCAAATGGAAGATTCCATTGCTAAGTTAAAGAAAGAAAGGTCAGAACTAATTCAAAGGGTGTCTGAAAAGGAAAGAAAATTTGAAGTAAAAGTAAGAAAAGCTGAAACAGTTATGAAAGAAGAGGTTGTTAACACAAATACTAACTTTAAAAAACTCAAATCAAAACACTTGAGTTTGACTAAGGATTTTGAAATTCTTTCTTCTGATTTAAAACATGCTCAGAAAATAGGCCAAAACTGCAAACTATTTATCAAATTAAAACTAGCAAAACATAAATGCAAACAAATTCAACTCTCTACTGGTAAAATACAAGATGCCTTCATACAAGGCTACAAACTTGAACCATTTAAAATTCAAACAACAGCTCAATCTCTTGAGAAAGAAACAACCTTTTTCTCATTGGTAAAAGTACATGTATCAGCTTTAGAGAGGGGGGTTACGTTTAATTCAGATATGTTCCATCAGGTCAGAAATGTGTCGTCTTTGCTTGTTTTATCTGAACACACACTTCTAACATCGGACTGGTATACGAAAAGTCTAGTTATTTATAAGCAAGAACAGCCAGACCAAGAATCATTCACTGAATTTAAATTTGATAAATATCCTCATGGATTAACAAAAATTACAGACTACAAAGTTGTTGTTACATTTCCAGACGACAGGAAGATTAGACTTATTACATTTTCTAAAGATATGAAAATTCTAAATATAACTGAAATACCAGGGAATGGTCATTGTAGGGGTATTGTTTACAGTAATAACCATCTTGTTGTTTCATACTGGAATCCAAGTTGTGTTAAGATTTTAAATATGTCAGGTAAAATAGTGAAATCATTTGACAACGAAAACAATTGTCAGAATCTGTTTTCCAATCCTTTGTACTTGACTGTTAGTCCTGACAATACTATGATATATGTCTCTGATTGTGACAAGAACACTGTGACCTGTTTGACTTTTGATGGAATGTTGAAATCCATATACAAAGATGAGAAGCTGAATTATCCTCACCAACTTGCTGTTGATGATTTTGGATCAGTATGTGTGTGTGGTCAAGACTCAAACAATATCCATCAATTATCTCGTAATCTCAACAAAGTGAAAATACTGATAGATAAAAGTCATGGCATAAATACACCAACAAGTATTGCATACTGCCAGAATACTAAGAGATTATTTGTTGGAATGGATTGTAATAGAAAAATAAAAATTTTCAATGTGACACTTGAGTAAATTTTGTAACATTTAAGCATAGACTTCAGACCAAACATTCATTCCTAAGTCTCATTTTAGGGTGGTTGAATATGGTCCTTATAGCCATAGCAACTTAACACTCTATTATAAGATATGGCACATTGGAATCTTGAACTTATATTTTAATGCACATATTCATCAGCATCAAATCCGTTAACATGTTTTATAAGGTTGACTTGTGTAAATAAATTATGCTTATAATTTTTCTTTCTATAAAATGATTTTATCATTTATTTTCCCAAAAAGAAAACACTAGATCTAATACCTGCTTGTAAATACACGCAACTGTAAATGAAATGAGATGCATTTATCAATAAATTTTATTTCCTGTTAAAGTTTATGCTTTTTATTTTTCTTTCAATTCAACATTTTTATATTATAGAATGTTTAGTATGTACATGTATAGACAATATGATATAACATACCAGTGTTTACATGGCATAACAAGAAAGCAATGGTGGCTAGCTCAATTAAAATATATCGACTTAAAACAAGTCAACTAGACAATGACACACACCAGACATCTCAGTTGCAATACTTATGCTTAAAGAGACGATTTTTGAAGACTTGCCTTTGAGTCACTTTCAGTCCCATTTGTTAGCTGATTTGAGGCCAAAAGTGTCACATTTCCATTTTCAAAAAGTATTATATACTTTTCCCCTGTTTCTGAGGTAAAAGAAATCCTGGTGTGTAACGTTGAAAATAACATTTAGCCTAAATATTAAATGCACTAAAAAACTGAGCTGTTAGAAAAGAGCTGTCAGTTATTCTCTGTGCTTAATATTAAATAAAGTCATGATAATGTAGGAATTAACCAAAAAATGATGTTTCATTAAAAAGATGTTTCATAAGATGTTAAATAAAAATACATGATACAGTTTAATTCTGTCCAATTCAATGTCTTTAGGGCCACCTTTAATGATCTGAAATAAGTCTGAATTTACAAGCAAATAACCTCCTTGGTTGATGATATATGATGCAACTCTATAAGATGTCCTTAAAACACTAACTCAAGTGATCATGCAGACACCTGAGTAAGTAGATAACCCCTTTATTCTTTAAATAGTCAAACTACTTTAAAGTTTATTTTGCAGATTCATTGAGCTTAATACAGAATTTCACTGCACTTCGCAACTGGACATCACTTATTAACATTTTTCTAACCAACAGTTTGAATGATAGAAAACAAAATGGTGTTGTTTCCATTCAAACGCTACATCTGAAATGAAATTTAGCATATTTGACATCATAATAGTGTCCTTTTATAAGCAGTCAGGGGTCCAGTGGTTCATATCACAAGGGGTGGTAATGGGGACAAGCTCCCATTACTTAGAAAATGCTCCAACGGTGTGCGGAAAATATAGCCTCTGTCAACCTAGTCCAGCTCCTGGCCTGCATGCGTGGCTTGTTACTAACCCGGCGGACCTGCTTATGCTAACAGGAGAAGGAGCGAAGCGGTTCTTTGGCGCCATAACCACTGCTTCGAGTAGACAGAACTCGTAAGCCTAGGAAGGCAGTCTGTCTAGGAGAAGGAAAACTCTAATTTAAAACCTCCGTTGCTTTGCGGCTATACCCCCTCCGGGGAAAGTGCTGGGTGAAGGAAATCACCAATATAAAAACCAAGGATGGAGTAGGTTCTAGAGCGCTTGCAGGCAGCTATTCTTTGGGAGGAGGCCACCCTGAGCAAAAACCTCAACCACCGAAGTCGGCGAATGTCAGCCTTTATCGGCGTGGGAAGCGAATCGGACATTCACGCACAACCCATCAGTATGGCCGTACAACTAACGATGGATCGATGTGGTGTCGTCCTGTTGAACCGTGGACAGGGTAGGGCGGCGCCGGGACCCGAGCCTCGAAGGGGTCCACCAAAAGCTACTGACTGCGGCTCTGGTACTCCTATAGTAACTAGGGGAGGACAGAGTATAGCTACAAGTCACAACCAGCCCCTCCGCATCATGCATTGGAACGCAGAGGGTGTGCAGCACAAAAAGCTAGAGTTTCAAAATTTCCTGAAAACTAACAGCATCGACATCTGCTGCATCCAGGAAACCCATCTTAATGAAAACCACCGATTCTTCATCAGAGGTTATGAACTCTACAGACATGATAGACAAATAGACCTAAGGGAAGAATAGTTTACCATCAGTTGAGAAAGAACGCTTCCTTGACTCAGACACAGAGTCCATCAGTGTAGAGGTCATCCCGCCAGACAGAAACCTGACTGTCCTCAATCTCTACAGCCCTCCAAACAAGCAGATCAAGCTACCCCAGCTAAATGACAACCAGATCAACCGGATAGCATTAGGCGACTTCAACAGCCACTCTCCTAGTTGGGGATACAAGGAGCTTAATGCCAAAGGCGAGGAAGTTGAGGACTGGATTGTGTCCAATCATCTCGTCCTCCTTAACAAACCAGATCACACACCAACATTCTATTCTAGAGTTTGGCACACGAAAAGCAGCCCGGATCTAGCTATTGCCATAGAAGACATTCAGAAAATCTCGCACCGTGAAGTGTCATCACAACTCGGGGGCAGTATATATGGCATATATACACCAACAAGTACTGCATACTGCCAGAATACCAAGAGATTATTTGTAGGGAGGAATTATAGTAAAACAATTAAGGTTTTTTTATGTGTCACTGGAATAAAATATTACGCAACTTTCATAGTCTCATAAACTACAATTTCTTTTACTGCTATATATTCTTATATGACATTAAATTTTCTTTCCCTTAAAAAACATTCAAGGTAAATGCGTTGAAACACTACCAGAAAAAGCTATATCTGTGTGTGGGGGTGAGAAAATGTCCATCATTAATCAAGTGACCTTACCAAAGTGATAATTTTTGATAGTTAAGAAAGCAATGTAGCTGAATAACAAGATATTGTGGGAATGTGTGAAAGTATACAAAGTTTCATATATTACAGGGATAAAATATGTTACTCTTACAAAAAGACTTCATACCAATCATTCATTCTAATGTCTCATTTTAGGTTGAATAGGGTCCTTATGACCATAACAACTTAACACTTTACATAACTATGGCACATTGGAATCTTAAAAAAATAATATGTTAATGCATATACATGTTTTCATAAATTATCAAGTCATTAAACCTGTTCTATATGGCTGTCTGTTGTAAATAATTAAAGCCTATTATTCTCTGATTGTATCATTTGAATTACAAAAATGACAACAAAAGATTTTATTAGCCTGTAAATACACAAAATTGTAAATGTGATGAGTTGTATTTATCAATAAGAATTAATTCCTGTTAAGTTTTATGCCTTTTAATTTTCTTTTTTCCCGTTAGTGATATTACATTATTTATTACCTACAAATGTACATTAAAGAATGTTAAGTCCTTCGGTTCAAATATGATCGAGAATGGAGAATCTTAAATTCAGAAGTACACAGGGATGGCAAGAATATGCCATATACATGTATAAAAACGCACCTACAGGTAAGAGTTGAAAGAATGTTATCTGGTCTGTTAGTGGTAATGGTACTTGTTTTGCATGCGGAAGGTCTTATTATATCTTTATTAGGCCTTTCTATCTTACTTTTGCCTTTTTTATCTATTTTTTTCCTTTTTTCCATATTTTCCCATGTACTATATTTACGAGGATGCTTCAGCATGTATAATAAGTTGCAATTCAATTATATTTAGCAATCCAAAAATGTCTTCGACCTCTGTGGCACTCGCAGTCGCGCTGGCGAGTTCGTCTTTGGTACCAAGCGAGTACCCAATAGGTGATTACTGCAGAGAAATGTGTCTTAATTAAAAGCTAATTCCAATTTTTTTCAGCACACAGTGTTGTGGTGATAGACAACGTCTAAACAGAAAATGATAAACCTTTAATGCATAACATATAAATGACAATTTGACATACATTTGTTTTATATGGTACATATAAGCGGGATCATTTAAACAAACCCAGGAATAGTTTTACAAAAAGAAAATATAAAAGATTCTTACAAGGTTATATCATACTTTTTTCACTATAAAATAAAACTTAATTTCAAAAAGAACACAACTTTTAACATTAAGCGTTATCAAACTGATTAATAAAATAATATCTTTGTACTGCATGTACAATTTTACATTTCAAAATACATTGAATGTACCCTAAAAGTATGCAAAACCAAGTATGTTGAAGATTTTTTTCTTGGAGCAGCTAAAGTCTAGAATAGTTTATCTAATGATCTCAGATGTACATCTGACTTCAATGAATTCTTAGAACTAGTTGAAACATAGAGTAATGAAAAGTAATGCTTGCTTTATGTGCATCTAATGTGCTGTTTCGCTTTATATGCATCTAATGTTCTGTTTCATTTAATTCCTGTCTTGCTTGTAATTTCATTTTCAAGTTATCTTTTCCTTGAATTATGTACTATGTATATGTGTAAAACCCTGTTATTTCAACTTTATTATACAGGACTGTATTTTTTCATTTTCATTTTAAATGCTCTAATTTCATTACCAATGTCAATCTGAATTCATTTGTATGTATAATTATCTTAACAGTGGTTTGTACACTTTTTTGTTTCTTATCATTTTAACTTGTGTTCATGTGGGATACAAGCTTAAATTTGTACTATTAACCATAACCAACTATAAATAAAGTCTGTCTTAATGTCTCTATTCCAATCCCAATGAAAGGGCAAAACTGGCATGGATGTATCATGTGTATGATAATATATATAAACTGACACTTTTTTAAATCTAAATGTTTTCTGGTTTAGTATCTTATCTTGGTTACCGTTTTTTTTTCTCATTTATTTTACATAAATAAACCAACATGGTATATCTTAATCTCAGTAACAGATACCTTCTTTATACCTAGATACATAACCTGCATATAGCCTGTGTAAATAGCCTATTTATAATGCAAATAATACCAATTATCTCAGACATCAAGGGAGGTAACTAGTCATGAATTGATAGTTATTTCAACAAATAAAAAGAAAAAAAATAGTCTGTTCTTAACATTTACTATTCTATTAGAAAAATAGATCAAATTATGTTAATGTAAATAAGTAATCTATGCTTAAAAAAGAGAGGTTTCATAGTATGCAATCACACACTACTTTTTCATTCTGTCAATTTTCTTTAAACCTGCATTAGGTTAAATGCTAAAAAAACATTTAATTTAACCTTGCTTACAAAATTGGCAGCATTTTTTCCAAAAGGTTACTGAAACTGGCACCTCACTGAAACATTCGGCCACCTTTTCTATACATTATCAAGATCAGACATTTTTACCTTTAGAATAAACAGTTGATATATTTACAATATGTTATTACCTTTAAATAGCTAACA